GATAGCCTCGAAGGGAAGCGAGCTGCTGACCTCTGCGCTGTGACCCCCAGCGACCTGGCTCTCGAGGAAGAGATCTTCGTCGCTAGAGATCGAGGCCGACGTGGCTCGAGGTCGTCCTCGAAGGAAACCTCGGCACTTATCGTCGTCCTCCTCCTCGCCTTCCTTCTGGCCCTCGAGCGGAAGGTGAGGGCAAGGGTCGTACTCGTTGGAGAACCGCGAGGACCCATGACCTGCCGAGGAGAAGTCGAGGTCGTCCTTGAAGTCATTGCTTCTGGACGGCGGGGACGACACTCGCCTCTCTCGGGCGTGACATGGCCTTGAGACGAGGAAAACCTGGGGAGAAAAGAGGAGAGAAATTATTAAAGGAAAGGAGAAAAAGGGATATAAAGGGAAAAATAACGAGAAGGCAGATGAAAAGGCAAGAGAAAGATAAACAGAGAGAAAGACAGGAAGGATAAAATGGATATAATGACAAAAAAAGAAAAAAAGGAAAAGAAAAGAAAATTGCCAAAAGAGAAAACAACAAAAAATGGCCTAAAAAAGGATGTAAAACTCATAATACAAGAAACAAAGAAAAACTGACAGAACGAAGAAAAAAAATTGGCAAAAAAACATATCAATAAAACGAATAACAAAAAATCAACAAAAAAAAAATCACACACACACACACGCACGCACAAAAAAGAGAATTCTCAACCCAAAAATAACAAAAAAAACGAGCCACGTGTGGGAAAAAAAGTTTTAAGGAGAAACTCTCGGTGATTCAATAACCTCAGCTTGGCCTCCCGATTACACCCTGAGACGAACACAAAAGGAATTAAGGCACTAAGCGGTTAGGGAAATAAGGGCTATATTGCGGATGGCGGGGAGAAGGAGAGAGGCGGAGAAAGGAGGGATGAGAGAAGGGAGGGAGGAAGAGGGATGAGGAGGGAGGAGGAAGAGGGATGGAGGAGGAAGAAGAGGGAGAAGAAGAGGAAGAAAAATAGAATGAGGTAAAGAAAGAGAAGGAGAAAGGGAAAGATCGCTAGCTAGCTAGCTTGTTAGCTAGATATATAGATAGAGAGAGAGAGAGAGAGAGAGAGAGAGAGAGAGAGAGAGAGAGAGAGAGAGAGAGAGAGAGAGAGAGAGAGAGAAGAAAGAGAGACGGAAAAGTAGAGAAAAAGAGACAGAAGAAAGAAAGACAGAGAGAGAGAAAAAAAAATAAACAGATAATACGAGGCAAAATATGAGAAGAGAAAGAAAAGAAAAAGACAAGAAATCGAAAGAAGATTAAAAGCAGGAAAGGGAAATCAAAAATAAAAACCGTCACTTGGGTACAATCTGCACGAGATTCACTTCGCAACGGTAACATTTCTACGGGAACGACACGCCACATTTCATTTACCTAGGACTGTGTAATCATTCCATCCATGTAATATAATATCATTAAATAATGCTAGGACAATACATGTAATCGTTTTTTTTCTAAACTGATATAGTACAGATTGTAATGGTATTATATCCTAAATATCCGATGTAATACTATTATGTAATGCTTTGACCACACATGTAACTGTGTTTATAAAGTGATATAGTAAAGACGATAATAATATTATTGTCTAAATTTCCAATGTAATACAATTATGAAACGTTATGACCGCGCATCACATGTACTACAGCTTGCCCACCCCTCTGAAGGTAGATAGGGTGGTAGATAAAGACCTAAACTAAACTAAACTCTCTTGACAGGAGGTTGAGGAAGCGAGAGAGAAAGGGGAAGAGAAAATGTATTTATATCAGAGGATATAAAGAGACGGAAAGAAAGAGAAAAAAAAAGAGAAAATGTTAATAATTCAATCATGTATTTATATCAAAGGATATAAAGAGACAGAAAGAAAGAGATAAAAAGAGAAAATGTTAATGATTCAATCATGTATTTATATCAGAGGATCCAAAGAGAAGAGAGGAGAGAGAGAGAGGAGAGAGAGAGAGAGAGAGAGAGAGAGAGAGAGAGAGAGAGAGAGAGAGAGAGAGAGAGAGAGAGAGAGAGAGAGAGAGAGAGAGAGAGAGAGAGAGAGAGAGAGAGAGAAATAATACAGAGAAATGCATAAAAAAACGAAGATAAATAAAATGTTATCAGAATACCGATAGACAGACCAAGACAAGACAAGACAAGACAAGACAAGACAAGACAAGAAAGACACAAGACAAGACAAGACAAGACAAGACAGACAAGACACAAGAAAGACAAGACAAGACAAGACAAGACAAGACAGACAACAAGACAGACAAGACAAGACAAGACAAGACAAGACAAGACAAGACAAGACAAGACAAGACAAGACAAGACAAGACAAGACAAGAAGACAAGAAAGACAAGACAAGACAAGACAAGACAAGACAAGACAAGACAAGACAAGACAAGACAAGACAAGACAAGACAAGACAAGACAAGACAAGACAAGACAAGACAAGACAAGACAAGACAAGACAAAAAGACAAGACAAGACAAGACAAGACA